TATATATATTAGAGGCCTGGTGCCACCGGTGGGGTCCCTTGGCCTGGCCTGCAGGGATCTGGCCAAAACCGGCTCTCCGACATCCCTTGAGGGGTCCTGGATTGTGAGAGGTCAGTCACAGGCCAGGCCGAGGGACCCCATTGGTGCACGATTAAGACCGGGGAGGGGCCACGGGAGGGCTCCAGGGTGTGTCCAGCCCGTCTCGCCCAGTCCCAATCAGCCGGACCCTAGCAGCAAGCTAACCTACTGGTCAGAGTGTCTGCCCCCTGGTGGTCAGTGCACTGGTGGTTGAACAAACGAACAGTTGGACACTTAGCATATTAGGCTTTTATTATATAGGATTCTTTTCTTTTTTTAAAATATGTCCAAAATACAGTTTTCCAGTATGGCACCTTTGATATACAAAACAAGGCACAAATGGAATATACAGAATGCTGTTAACTATGTTCTTAAAAAGTTACAGAAACTTAATTTGTCTGATTGGATAGTTGAAAGCTGTAGGGAATTAATTTTTAAAGATGTGTTTTAAAAAGTCCTTTATCTTCTAGAGATTTGTACTGAAATATATAGGGATAAAATGACACTGGGTATTTGCTTCAAAATGATCTCAGGTGTGTGGGGTAGGGTTAGGACTAATGGGTGAGTTATATATGAAAACAAGACTGGCCACGGATGGATCAAGTATTGAAGCTGAGTGATGGTTGGGAAGGGAGTGTTATTACATTACTTTCTATACTTTTGCCTATGTTTTAAATTTTCTAAAATACAATTTTTTAAAAAGTCATAAAAAGGAGAGCCCTAACCAGTTTGGCTCAGTGGATAGAGCGTCGGCCTGCAGACTCAAGAGTCCCAGGTTCGATTCCAGTCAAGGGCATGTACCTTGGTTGTGGGCACATACCCAGTAGGGAGTGTGCAGGAGGCAGCTGATTGATGTTTCTCTCTCATCAATGTTTCTAACTCTCTGTCCCTCTCCATTCCGCTCTGTAAAAAAATCAATAAAATATATTTAAAAAAAAAAAAAAAAGGAGAAAAAAATTTAAACAAAGATGCCTACTTAAAAAACTAAGGAATATAATGAGTGAAGAGATTGTTGAGTCCAGATCAAAACAGTGTATTATCTCTCTCCTTTGCTCCAAATTCCTTGATATATTTTAAAAGAACTGAAGAATTGTAATAGTGAAGATTAAAGATGATATTAGGATTCCAATGGTTTTGACAGGCTCCTCTTAAGTTCCTCAAAGTGGTTCTCAAAATGTGGTCCCTCATCTGATAACTTGTTAGAAATGCAAATTCTCAGGCCACATCCCCACCTCCTTAGAGGGTAGGGCCATGTGACCTGGGTTTTAACAAGCCTTCCATGTGATTCTGATGAAGTTCCAGGACACTGTAAAGCTGATGAGACTGACAAGAAACAAGAGAAGAAAACCTTAGCCCAAACCAGCCCGAGACAACAATCAGAAAGGAAAAGGGATTACAGGGATACTCTAAGCTCAGGGTCAACAAGTGACAGAAAGCTGGAGGCCTCCAGCTGCAAGTCAGGTCCTAACCTTGCCCACCTCAAAGCCAATGGTTGGTGAGAGTGGGAAACAGTCCTGCCCAGGGCAGAAGAGCGCCATCCTCAGAATAAAGTGCTTTGTATTTTGGCAAAGAGACGGAAGTGAGGATGGGACAAGAGCTTAGCTCTTCTGCTCACTCCCCATCTGTGTATTCTCAAAGGTCTGTGTGAACAAGCCCCCTTTTCTCAAAGTAAACATCTTTTGGAGAAAGGAATGCTTATACAAATGTGGGAAAAATCCACACCAACTACCTATCAAGTGAATCTCTTGAATGATCCTTTAAAAATAACAAATAGCAGTACAGATAATCAATAAAGTGAACAAAGAGAAGGTTGACAATCAATGGGGAAAAAAACCCAAATAATTCAAGGAACAGAAAAGAATGTGAAAATTCTAATTGGTGTCCTAAGAAATGTAAGGGTTCATCTATGAAAAAAAAGCAATTAGAACAAGAAGCAATCTTGAATATTTAAAACCAAATTACTGCCCTTACTGGTTTGCTCAGTGGATAGTGTTGGCCTGAAGACTGAAGGGTCCCAGGTTTGATTACGGTCAAGGGCACATGCCAGGGATTGCGGGCTCGATCGCCAGTAGGGGGCGTACAGGAGGCAACCAATCAATGACTCTCATCATTGATGTTTCTATGGCTCTCTCCCTACCTCTCTGAAATCAATAAAAAATTAAATAAAACATTAAAAAAACACAAATTAGTAAACTTAAAAATTAAATAGAAAAGCTAAATAATGATGTAATGGACACATCTGAGGAGGATTAGTGATCTGGAAGATAACATCTGAAGAATTCTTTCAGAACAGAGAACAAAAACCAAGACAAAAAATAAAGGTGAACTGACAGAGGATCAAGTTAGGAGGTCCCATAGTCACTTGATGAGTTTCAGAAAAACAAAGCAGATAAAATGGAAAGAAAACAATTAAAGAAATGATTTTCAAAATTGCCCTTAATCCAAGAATGGTACAATTCTTCAGTCAAAAAACCATGGGGTAAACAGTATGAATGACAAATGTCCCACATACATAGGCACATGCTGGTGAAATTTTAGAACTCCAAGCACAAAAAGAAGTCCTAAAAGTTTTTTAGGAAGAAAAAAAAAGGTCTTTACCACTAAATAGAATCAGATTGGTATCTGACTTTTAATCAGCAATACTGGGTGCCAGCAATCATGTTACAGCCTCAAAATTCTGAGGTGCAATTACTTTGAACCTAACACCCTAAACTCAATTTCAAAAAATTTTAATGGAGTCAACATTTAATTACTTGATGATACGCTGCAGTAAACTAAAAAACTAACCCTGGCATGTAGCCACACTGTAGCACCATGGAGCTGTTTGCACTGAATAGTTTCCTCCTCACTGAACCCTTCTCCAAAAGAAGAGGTAAAGCACCCCTCCACCCCCAAAACTCATAGAATACCTATAAATATTGAGCATATATTCCGTAAAGTAGAAACCACATGGGCGAAAATCTATCTGCTTGGAAATTTTTGAAAATTTACTTTTATTGTTGAAAGTAGTACAGATCCCGCCCCACCCCCCCCCCCCCGCCCCCAAAATTGACTCCCCTCTCCACCCTACACCTACCACCCCACCCCCGCCTGGAAATTTTAAACTCACTTAAATAATTCCTGGGTTAAACATACAGACAGCTGAATGTGAAATTACCCACTAGAAATGAATAACAGTCACCTCAGCTAAAGACTGTCAGACACAGCCAAGGCAGTGCTTCATTTATTAGAAAACAAGAATGAAAATAAACCTCTGCACAATACACCTTAAAGCAATGATTGTTAATATCTCTGGAGATACGGCGGCGGTCCACGACAGTAGCCTAGGAGGCTGAATTCATTTATGTATTCAAGGCCCATGGAATTTGCATGCTAACTACTAGTGATAAACTGCAGACTGACTCATATTTTAGAATACCAGCTCAATTAATAATATTCGTTACTTCATCCTAACGAGGTGAATTGGGTTAGGAATAACATCTTTGAATAATATAAAAGTTAAACTGAATTCCTAAAGTCAGGCAAGGCTTTACTCATTTTTATATGTTTCATCTGTGCACAGTGGTGGCACAGGTAAACATTCAACAGTATTATATTAACTGAATTAATGTATTGGACAGATACTTTCCAAAATATGGGGCTCACTGGAGAAACAGAATAAAAAATCTGGGTGGTGGTTACAAGGTTGGGAAACTGATCTACACATGAATTTTAACCTCAGGTCTACGATGTCACGGTGCCACACGACAGGTGTTCCACGACTCAGGTAGGATCTTAAGACTCAGAGGAGCAACAAGAGGGCTGAGAGCTGTTCTCAGCTTTCCTGCCTTCCTTCTTGCAAGCAAGGCCCATGGACTTCGATAATTACAATGTCAGATAAAATTAATTTTTCAGCTATAAAAACAGACTAATTTTTAAAAACCTAGCTCCTCTTAGCTATTTGTCAAAAGGGTAGAGCTCTAACTCTAGCAAGCACAGGTGACTAGAACATAAAATCAAAGTCTCTGTATTACAGAGAACAAAAAGATCTCAGGAACTTTTATTTAAAACATTTTTAAATACTCAATTACTATCTTCATAGGGTAAATTTTAACTAAACCTAAAACTGAGGTAACTATTTCATAAACTGTTTCTGCTATAAGAAACTATTTGAACCTCTTCAAGTACTACACTTAACATACTTTTTCATGAGGAAATTTAAAAAGGTCCAATTCTGAACCATACCAAAACAAGCACTTTAATTGAATCTAAATATACACAGAGGCCATATCAATATTACTATTTCAAACATTCAATATTTGAGCTACTTAAGTAGTGGCAATAGGTGAATTTCAAAATGTTCTTTGAAATAAACTAAAAATTTAAATCTTAAGACTTTCTATTACATTAATTTAACCTGGTTTATTTTAAAAATATTTCCTCCTCCTACAGTTAAAGAATGATACTTCTCTCCTGCATTAAAAACAAAATAACTGGCCGAAACCAGTTTGGCTCAGTGGATAGAGCGTAGGCCTGCGGACTGAAAGGTCCCAGGTTCGATTCCGGTCAAGGGCATGTACCTGGGTTGCGGGCACATCCCCAGTGGGAGATGTGCAGGAGGCAGCTGATCGATGTTTCTCTCTCATCGATGTTTCTAACTATCTCTCTCCCTTCCTCTCTGTAAAAAATCAATAAAAAATATATTTAAAAAAAACCAAAAAACAAAAAAAAACCAAAATAACTGTATCTCTCTCTCTAACCTACAGCTTTGCTCAGTTGAATTAGCATTTTTAAAGCTTTATTCTTTACTACTACACCAATATCCTCAATTCTTAACTGGTCCAAGAGCAGATTTCCATTCATGACAGCAATACATACAATATATACAAATAAAGATAATTCTGCCAGCAATTATGTTCAATAACAATACAGAAGACACAGTATTAAAAATCAGTTGTGTATTTATTTACACAGATTCAAAGAAAAGAATCAAAAATCCAACACAGTATCATATGAAGCTTACAATTCAATGACTAATTCAGTTTAAAAAGTTTTCCTCCACTAACTTGAACATGGCACTATTTTAAATGCTTCAATTATGAGTGCTGAAACCTCAGACACCTACACATCTTCAGTTTTCATAGAATTACTATTAAGTCCAAAAAAGTCTTTTTTGATGATGTACCGAACACACTGCAAAATCACATTTCTTTCATGTCGAATGTCTGGAGCTAAAAGCTAAAAAACAATAAATACAGAGATTAGCTAGTAAGTAAAATATATCCAAGAAATATAATCTGAAGTATTATGTGTGCCTTCCCCATATGAAAACAGAGAACAATAAAGATGTACATTATACTTACTAATTATTTGCTAAAAAAAAATGAAAGAACATTTCCTCTTAATTTATACCAAAACTATCTAGCTTTTTAAACAGCATAAATGTTAACATTTGGGCCCTGGCCGGTTTTGCTGAGTGGATAGAGCATTGGCCTTCAGACTGAAAGGTCCCAGGTTCAATTCCGGTCAAGGGCATGTACCTTAGTTGCGGGCACATACCCAGTGGGGAGTGTGACGGAGGCAGCTGATCGATGTTTCTCTCTCATCGATGTTTCTAGCTCTCTATCCCTCTCCCTTCCTCTCTGTAAAAAATCAATAAAATATATTTAAAAAATAAATAAATAAATAAAAATAAATGTTAACATTTGGGTTCTTCCCTAGGAGTATCTGACAAAGGACAAAAAAATAGGTTTAAAAGCCTGCAATTCTTTAATATAAAAATCATATTAAACAGGATCCTACTAAACTCAAATCTATAAACAGTATACAAATTGGTAAATAGATATAGTAAAGATAGTAATAATACTAATCTAATAGTTAAAAATCCCAATATTCCTGGACTTTTATAACTTCCCATTTTTGTGCTTATTGTAATTAAAAGAAAGCTAAAAATCCCTGGTATTTAGAATAAGTACATAACCAAGGAGTCATATGTAATTTGTCAAAAAGATAAAAGTGACCTCAACATATTTTCTGATGTCCTTAATGTAGTTTGAAAACCTCACATAAGGAACTTTCAGTGGAAAAATGATTTAATTTGCTCCTATTAGGCAAACATTTTAAAATACAATTTACTTTACATAGCACTGAAATTTACAAAACAGAGTGCTCATTTCAGATCCATTTAATCAGAAGCAACTGTGTCTACAGTAACCCTCATGGAGTGCAGCCACAGAACACTTTAGCTACAGCACAAGCACTTATCTGACAAGGCAAAACCAAACAGAATTTTCACAGAATATCAACAGTTTTATAACTCCATTAAAAAATTTAGGAATATTTCTATTTCTATCACTCTTATACATGAAAGCCTTGGATCTTTGAATAGTTTCATGTCCATTACTTAGAATCAAAAGATGTATTGCTTCCTCTTTATAATTTGAGAAAGATAATAAATTTTTTAGCAGACCACACTGAGAATAAAGCCAATAACGCACAAATGTTTCCTTTTCTCACCCTGGCTGAGTGGCTCAGTTGGTTGGAGCATCATTTCGTACAGCATAAGATTGCAAGTTCAATTCCCACTTAGGGCACAAGCCTAGGCTGTGGGTTGGATTCCAGATCACGGTGTCTATAGGAGGCAACCAAGAGATGTTTCTTTCTCACATCAATGTTTGTTTGTTTCTTTCTTTCTCCCTCTCTTTCTTTCTTTCACTCAAATCAATGGAAAAATATCCTTGGGTGAAGATTAAAACAGAACAAAACAAAAAAACCTTTTCTCCTTTCAGTCTGCCAGTGTATTTAGCTGTGCTTTCAGTGAAAACTATGTGTCAGTATACTTCAATACACATTTTGTAACCAATCAGTTAAACCTAGATTCTTTTATTTTAAGCAGTTTTGAAAATTGTAGGATTAAGCAAATAAAAAAGGGGGGGGGGAATGGGGCAGGGGAAAAGGAAGAGCCCTAGCTGGTTTGGCTCAGTAGATAGAGCGTCAGCCTGCAGACTGGAGGGTCGTGGGTTCGATTCTGGTCAGGGGTACATACCTCGGTTACAGGCTCAATCCTCAACCCGGGTGGGTGCGTGTAGGAGGCAACCAAATGACATCTCTCTCTCACATATCTATGTTTCTCTCTCTCTGTCTCTCCCCCTCCCTTCCACTCTCTCTAAAAATAAATGGGAAAATATCCTCGAGTGAGGATTAACCCAAAACGAGAGAGGGAGGGAGGGAGAGAGAGAGAGAGAAAGAGAGAAATAACTCATGGACATGAGCCACAGTGTAGTGAATGTGGGGGGTCTAGGGGTGGGTGGAGATGGAAGACCCATAGCAGGGATAAATGGTGATGGGGGGAAATAAAGATAAAGAGGGGGAAAAAGAAAAATCATTTACCATTTCCAGGAGATATGGATGATGTGTTCTTGGTTCAAATAAAGCATGATAATTGTGGCAATCTTTCTTCCTCTTAGGGTTTGTCTTTTTGCAACTTTTCTTTTGGCTTCTGGCTTCTGAGGAATTTCTAACAGTTGGTTTAACATCTTGATTTGGTCCCTTAGAAGTATCACTATGAAGAACCTGGTCTTCCGCCAGAACATCTGCTTCGGTCTTAATGGGAGTTTCTAAATGCGATAAAAACCACACAGATTAAAAACAAAAACACAGGGTATCCTTCTAAAAGGTAACAACAACAACAACAAAAACCATAATAACTTCTCCCAGCCATAATACTGCCTAATTATTAATTAGAACTAGGCATTTACTATGTATTATAATACTTTTTAAAAATTGGGAATTATAACTGCCAAGACTTGAGGAGATTACCATAAAGAATTAAAGAAAGTGATCCCTATGAAAGAAATAATACAAGATTGAAACTTGGATCTACACAAATGAAGAATGAAGAGTGCCAGAAACAGTCAATATGTGTGAATAAATACAAAATACATTGTTTTCTTGTTTGAAAATTCTTTTAAATACAATGATAATATAAAGCAAAAATAATAACAATGTATGTGGGGTTTATAACATCTGTAGAGATAAAATCTATGATAACAATAACTCAAAAGAAGGGAAGAGAAAAATGTAAATATTCTATATAATAAAAGGCTAATATGCAAATTGTCCCCTCGACCGGAGTTCGACCAGCAGGCAAGGCCGGCCGGCCAACTGCCCACGGCCCCTCCCACCAGCCAGCCCAATAGACAAGGACCAGCTGGACCCCACCCGTGCACAAGTTCATGCACCAGGCCTCTAGTATTGCTACAAATTTCTTAAATTGTATGTGAAATGCTATAACATCATCTGAAAGTAAACTGTGATAAGTTAAAGTTGCATATTATAAACTCTAGACCAACTCTTATTAAAGAAAACAAAGGAATATATCTAATAAACCAACATTTGCACTGGCCTAAAAATATAGAATTAATCCAAAGGCAGGAAAAGAAAATAAAACAGGTGAGACAGCCCTAGCTGGTTTGGCTCAGTGGATAGAGCATGGGCCTGTGGACTGAAGGATCCTGGGTTTGATTCTGATCAAGGTCACATGCCTTGGTTGCAGGCTCAATCCCCAGCCCTGATGGGGGCATGTGTGGGAGGCAACCAATCAATGTTTCTCTCTCTGTCCCTCCCCTCCCCTCCTCTTCCACTCTCTCTAAAAAAATCAATGGAGGAATATCCTCGGGTGAGGATTAACAACAGCAACAACAAAACAAACAAAACTCTCTATCTCTCTCCCTTCCTCTCTGTAAAAAAATCAATAAAAATAAAAAAAATAGAGGAATGTTCCATTAAAAAAAAAATAAATAAAATAAAATAAAATAAAAGTAAAAGCATAGAAGATAACAAGTATATACCAATCATAAGAAAACTATATCAATATCAAAGGAGAATTCAGAACAGGGACAGACTGTCACCTGGGATAAAGAGGGACAGTTCATAATGATAAAGAAATAAATGTATCAAGAACATGGAACAAAACAAAAAAAAGAACATGGAACAGTAACAGCTAATAACAGAGTGTCAATATACATGCAGGGAAATGTCACAAAACTAGCACTTACTATGTGATTTTGGGTCAAGTTACTTAACTCTTCCTAAATTTCCTCATAAACAATGGCATGTACTTCATAAGGATATGGAAATAATTAAATGAGTAAAGCACATAAAATAGGGCCTGATACAGAGTAACTACTATAAAATAATTTGTCATGATGATAGTTTTTTTTTTAAAATATATTTTATTGATTTTTTACAGAGAGGAAGGGAGAGAGATAGAGAGTTAGAAACATCGATGAGAGAGAAGCATCGATCAGCTGCCTCCTGCACATCTCCCACTGGGGATGTGCCCACAACCCAGGCACATGCCCTTAACCGGAATCGAACCTGGGATCCTTCAGTCCGCAGGCCGACGCTCAATCCACCGAGCCAAACCGGTTTCGGCTGATGATAGTAGTTTTGATGTGCCTCAAAGTGATGAAGGGGGAAAAAGACAAATATAACCATAAAAGAATGGAGCTAAGAATTCAAAGTGGTTCATAGAGTTCAAAATTATGGGAATAATAAAGGCAAAAGAAAAATGAGGGCATTGCTTTCTATTATTCCTTGCCCTTTCAAGTACTGCTCTCCCAATCCAGGAGTACAGAAGTCAAATGAATCAGAGCTATATTGTCAATTTGCTGTTAAAGAATGAGAAATTAGAACCATTTATATTTTTCTCAAGATCCACATTTCCCAGCTTAGTGTCATTTTTTTAAAACATTTAATCACCTTTATTTGTTTGTTTGTTTTTGTTAATCCTCACCCAAGGCTATTTTTTCCACTGATTTTTAGAGGAATGGAAGAGAAAGGGAAAGACAGAGAGACACATCTATGTGAGAGAAGCACATTGATTGACTGCCTCCTGCATGAGCCCTGACCAGGTCCCAGGTCGGGGAGGAGCCTGCAACCAAGGTACATGCCCATGCCCGGAATCGAACCCAGGACCCTTTGTTCCGCAGGCTGATGCTCTTTCCACTGAGCAAAACTGGCAAGGGACATATTTTAATACTAGTGGCCGGTACACGGATTCGTGAGCATTGAAAGGACATTAATTAGAAGAAATATTTTAATATTTTAACATGATATAAGAACAACAAAAACATGATATAAAAACAATGACTAATAAATTGATTAAATTTATTCTAATATTTCCCTGTAAACCACATTAGGAGTAAAAACACTTTCAGAGTGCTTGACTAATTTCCCTTGTGATGAAGTATTTACAACTTTAACATCACATGCTCTTCGAACTCGAGAGAAAGCAACATATAACTGACCATGTCCGAAAACGGGTTCAGGTAGGAATATTCCTACTCTGTCTAGAGTTTGTCCTTGTGATTTATTAATAGTCATCGCAAATGCTGGCATCACGGGAAACTGTCTTTGAATTAATTTAAATGGGAGGCCAGTGTCAGATGGAAAAAAATCAATTCTTGGAATCAGAACAACCTCTCCTTCCACAGATCCTGTTAATACTTCAGCTTCAATTATGTTAGGTCACAATCTTTTGATAATAAATCTAGGACCATTACAAAGACCCTATTTACTATTAGGATTTCTCAGTAGCATGATGATTGCACCTACTTTCAATTTTAGTTTATGACATAGCATTCCAGACGGAGTACTATTAAGAAATTCAATGGGAAAATCGAATTCACGACTGAAACCACTAAATTCATGATCAGCAATGACAGATCAAAACACCTGTGCGATTGGCACCGAGAGCTTTATATGTATCACGCGTGCGTGAGTCAACGCTTATTTTCAAATTGCCAGTGCGTGTCAGATGTACCAGTAGGACAAACGGTCGGTCACTTAGCTTTTTATATATATCTATAATCATAAAAATGTAATATGCTAATTAGACCAGACAGCCAAACAACCTTCTGGACAAAGTCGCCGTGGCGGGAGCCAAGGCAGAGGCAGTTAGGGGCAATGAGGCAGGCAGCCGAGCAGTTAGGGGTGATCAGGCAGGCAGGCGAGCAGTTAGAGGCGATCAGGCAGGAAGACAGAGGCAGTTAGGGGTGATCAGGCAGTCAGGAGAGCATTTAGGGGCATCAGGCAGGCAGGCAGAGTAGTTAGGGACCATCAGGCAGGCAGGTGAGCAGTTAGGGGCAATCAGGCAGGCAGGCAAATGGTTAGGAGCGATGAGGCAGACAGGCAGAGTGGTTAGGGGCAATCAGCCAGGCAGGCAGGTGAGCGGTTAGGAGCGAGCAGTCCCGGATTGTGAGAGGGATGTCCAGCTGCCAGTTTATGCCCGACCCTGCAGGGATTCCTGCGGGATTGGGCCTGAACTGGCAGCTGGACATCCCCCAAGGTGTCCCAGATTTCGAGATGTGCAGGCCGGGCTGAGGGACCACCCTCCCCACCCCCGCATGAATTTCGTGCACCGAGCCTCTAGTAGAAGATAATATTTATCAATTCAAATAAATTTAAAATATAGCCATTGAGTTTTTTCAAACCTAAATCACTCTTTTTGGTTTACAGCCTTTTGAATGAGTTGTCAATTTAAAGATCCCCAGTCATAGCCAACACAATTTGAAGAAACAATAATTTTGGGGAGTTGTAAAACTGCACTTAATTTCTAATATGGCAAAATAAAACAAATAACTAAAAGAGGAAAACAACAACAACAAAAACCCACTCAGAACAGATATCAAACTAACCCATTTGAAGATACTACTCATTACCTGACCTGCGGGGCTCAGTGGTTGAGCGTCAATCTATGAATCAGGAGGTCACATGCCTGGGTTGTGGGCTTAATCCCTAGGGGGGGCGGGCAGGATGCAGTCAAAAAATGACTCTCTCTCAACACTGATGTTTCTATCTCTCTCTCCCTCTCCCTTCCTCTCTGAAACCAATAAAAAAATATACTGGAAAAAAAAAGTAGAAAATACTATTCATTGACATTTTCTTTCCTATGTGCAGGGTGAAGCACAGCCTCACCTTTTACTTCTATCTTCCTTGATGGAGTCTTTCCTTGTTTAAAACTCTTTCCAGGAAAACATTACTTATGTTTAAGATCTACTATACATTTTTATGTCAATCCCTAAATTGAAACAGATCTTAGCTATAAAGATACATAGACAATAATGTGGTGAAGGCCTGGGGTAGGACAAAAGTCAGATGGAGGAAGCCAATGGGGGAAAAATAGGGGGGGGGGGAGGGGGCATCTGTAATACTCTCAACAATAAAGATGAAAAAAACCCACTATGTATCATTGTTAAGTGCTTAGGGAGTGCCTATGGTATGCTGGGTGGGTCACAGAGTGACTTCATAAGCATTCCTCTATGCTCCTCATTTTGATACAGACAGCATATCATTCTGTACAGCTCTTTAATTTTTTATGAGGGTATGCACCTTTAAAAAAAAAGATACAATTGTTAATATCTGTGAAAATCAGACAGCTCTCTTCAGCTAGAATCCACTTAAATAAGCAGCCTTCTAAATGCTATTTCATGGCTCAGAGAAGGCCCACTTTATTTCCTTTATTTATTCCAAAGTCCCTATGTCTCAGTACCCTATTCTATAGCCAGAATTAATACTGAAAGTTAGAAATTTGCTAGTGACCTGATGGCTTAAT